CGCCCACAATCCTTATTTGCATTTCCAGCTTATCACTTAAATTATATCGTCTAACTTTGGCTTACATGTTTGTCTTCATCCTTACAGGAGCTGGCTGTGAAATTGTCACATAATTCTTCCGGACTTTTCGGTGCGAACTTTAAACTTTCGTAGATCTTGTTCGCTGCCCCGACTGAAGCTGGCATGCATCCAGTATTTCACTAAGATAACTAGTACTAAATCCATCCGCCTGTCTTTTGTTTCGATTTTAGCTCCAGAAACGTTGATGCGCGCCTTGGAATTACTAAACTATCTGGCAGCCCTGGATGATGATGGCAACTTGACCGACCTTGGCAGTATGATGGCAGAATTTCCTTTGGATCCGCAGTTGGCCAAAATGGTTATTGCATCCTGCGATTATAACTGTTCCAACGAGATTTTAAGCATAACTGCCATGCTGTCGGGTAGGTGAAACTTCCGAATCAACAAACTGCTTTATTTTTCATGTGTTCCATCCAACACCACTACTCTCAATCTACTAGTCGCTCTCCTTTTTGGGGTCATCCACAAGATGCCTTGATGTCGCAAAACTACGATAACTCAGTACAGCTCAGACTATGCTCGGAAATCCGATTCTCTCTTACGACCCAACTCTAAGATGGCACTTTTGAATTATCATAATTTGAATCGTCAGTTTTCGGAGCCACTGGGGCAATTTTGGGATGCACTCAGTGGTGGCGCAGCATTTGAATCAGTGAATGATGTCTGCGACAGACGGCTCTAATTAGGTCTCGCAGAGATTCTTTTCGTCAACTCTGGAAAATGTCAATAAGGTCAGATAGATATGACTGTAGAAAGTAGTAGGTTGAAATAGCTACGTCTATAGAGCAGGTTTCAGATATCGGTAACACTAAAATCCCACTAAATCGTTCTTCATTCTGCATGGAGTGGCTTTTGTTAATGTGAATGACAGCTTTGTTGATGACAAATCATCCAATTTAGAGTACGTGAACACCTCACAACCTACTTCTACCCCCCGTCCCATCCGCAGACGATTTTACCCATCTCTGGCCTATGCAGAATCATAGAACCCCCTCAGGGAGAAATTCTCGTTGCAACACGTAGGCTATGCAACGAGTGGACACTAGTTTCACTTAAATGGGACATTTCGACCGTCGGTTTCGACGAGGTCCACCGGGTGCTCCACAACAGGGTGCTGGAAGGACGGCAACTTGTGCGTTGGCTCCACGATGTGGTAGGGAAGCGTGGAGGATGAGGTTATTATTAATAACTGGGATTTGAGTATTTTTATGCCTCTCTTCAAGAAGGGAAATAAGACAAAGTACGAGAATTATCTCGGAATCAGCCTCTTCGACGCTGCCTTGATGGTTTTTCCACTAGTTACCGAGGGATTTTAGGGTGTGCGTAGATCGAAGTCGGGTTTCAAACCGGACGTGTATGCGCAGACTAGATATTCACATAAATGAATGACAACGTTCGCGTTCCAGGTATTTGTATGAATGACGAAGAAGGTTTGTCGAGAATCGGAGCAATTAGTTTATTGTCCTGAGCTTTCGAGCTCTTGCAAAAGGACAATAAACTAATAGCTCCGGTGCTCGACAACCCTTCTTTCTCATTCAGATATTCACATTGCAGTTGATTTTTGAATTCAGTCATATCTAAAAGTAACTGGCAGTTATTTGTCTTATTGGATTGTTGATCTTTGTCTTCCATGAGTCTATGTGGCGTGGAATGTGATTAAACGGTATACTGACAAAAGCATCTCTCGCGCCGCTACTTCGAGAATTGTGGTCCACAAAAATCGATGCCAGCCGTTTGATATTCAGTCTGGAGTTTGACAAGGATGCATTCGTTGACTGAATCTCAAGTTCTGTTGACGTAGGACTGTGTTGCGTGTAAGTGCAATTGCTAAATCAGTTGGTTTATCCATAACCTTCAAGAAAACCAGGGTTTTAGAGCTTTATCCTTGACCAGGAAGACGCACCCCTCAGGATGCGCGTTTTTCTATATATGAGGAAGTAATAGTAGGGCGCTTAATAAACAAAGGTCGCAGCTTCGAATCTCGGGGTTCCTACTTCTGGGGTTGTCTATGACTGGTTGATGACGGCTAAAAAGCCAGAAATGACCATTCCTGCCCCCCTTTTCTTTGTCAGTTCCAATTCATCACTTGAAGAGGCATTAATTTTCAAATACCTTGGAGTGAGGCTGCCACCGAAAAGGAAAAGGAAAGGCATTGTGTCCCGAATCGATTATGCTTGTTGGCTTCCTATAGCTCCTAGAAGGTGTCTGTGGACCCAATGCGACATTTCTTCTGCCACAAAGATCCGCGTGTATGGGGAGCCAGTACTTCTGCGGTTGCTAATGCTGGACTGTACTTATGGAGGTATTTGACTACCGTTGCCTGAAGACCGTTCTTCAGATAATGTACACTGACTTGATCTTGACTTGCTTCAACAGCGTCGCGCGAATATCTCAGACCATCCAGAATGATTTCG